GTTGTGCAAAAACTGCTTGTAAAACCTGCTTTGAGTTCCTGTGTTTATTGTTTTGATCCTTGAGCCATTTCAGGTTTGCAAACAGGATTCATGCTCAAGACAGCTGGCCACCGGACACTTACTGATATGTGAAAGACTAAGTGTGAAGTAATATAACTGAGCAGAATCCATCAGCACCTATTTTGCACAATTATTCCATACCAACAAAGGTCTTCTAATTCAGTCGGATTAAATGAAACCTGGTCTGCAGGTGATCTCTCAGCTTAGACTCAGCTATCATTGACAGGTAGTATTAGGGGTAGGGTCTCTATCGGATACTTGGGGTTCATGGGAGTTCACCAAACCTGTCCACATGTGTGGATTTGGAGAATGCGTTTAACTGTGTTCCCCTGATGTCCTTTGGGGGGTTCCCCAAGATCACAGGGCCCAGGGTCCCGAGCTGTCCGGCCCCTCTATGACTGGAGTCAGAGCTGCGTTCTCAATATGTTGCGGTACCGGTTCTTTTCAATCAATCAATCAATCAATTTTATTTATAGAGCCCTTTACAAGGTGATCAAAGTGTCACCAGTCCAAAATCTGAAACATGTGAATCACCAAACAGTCAGTTTTGTCATTTAAATGGAGTAGATTCTGCTGTAACCCCAGTTTAAAGGCGCTATACCCGTTTCTGCAAAGTTTGAATGTTTAGCACCGCCCCCCAACTCGCTCAATGGCTTCTCATTTCCCCTACGCTCTCATAACACGGAGCCATCTAGCTCAATTTGCGTTCTGACATGTATGCTAACATTAGCATTAGTGCAACTTCTTGTAAGCTGTACAACAATCACTGCTGAAATGGTACTAAAGCAACGCACTGCTAACACAATATATAGCTTCTACATGGGGTCGGCCCGATGTTCCCCGGGTCCGGTGTTCCCCGGGTCCGGTGTTCCCCGGGTCCGGTGTTCCCTGGGGCGGGGAACACCGGACCTTCCAAACGCCGGAGGGCCCGGTGTTCCCCGACTGCGGGCCTCGCTCATAGACATGTTATTGCTGCGCGCGGATAATGGAGCAACAAGCGGCTTTCGCTCATAACTAGTCTAGGGCTACTGAATACTTTATATTATAAGCCTTGTAGATCTCGCATTGTAGTAGCCAACTACATTTTTACAACCTACCACCTCAGAATAAGAACGTGTTGCAGATAAGAAAAGTAAAATTAGCTCCACCACCTTTTCTTTTTGGAAACATATCTCCCTTCGTTCATCCTCGCAACAGTATCGGCGCCAGGTTTGTAATTTTGGGTAGGCCTGCAGATTAGTAAGTAGGCCAAATTCGCTTGCAAACTACAAGGGCTAACTGGAATTGGGGTTTCAAAGAATATGGTTCAAACGCACACACGCACGCACACGCACTCACGCGCGCACATACACACAAGCTCATTTATGAAACTTGCGTTGAAAAAGGTGTACATTTTGGGTGTATATTCCATTTACGCAATTTGCCAAAATGTTTTGATGCATTAGAAAAATCCTTCTTGAATTGTAGAAGTGAATAAATATAGATTGATTGAATGAATGAATGAATGAATTCATATTATGCAGCGGTGGCTCTCATGAATGAAGCGTCTGCAGCGTCTTGGACGCATTGAGGCGCTGTACACTTCAGAGAGCGTTTGCGGTCCAGATTTCACAAAGAAACTCTGGAGCCAAAACTTCTGCACATGTGGCGCGACCTCTCACGGCACTCGCTGCGCACTCTGGACAGGGCAGTGAGACGTTTGAGTGAGCAATACCATCGATGCGTTATTGGGGTGTGTGGCTGTGTGAGGCTTACACAAATCTAATGAAATAACACATTGCTTTACCAGATGTGAATGAGGAATACAAATAGCCGTGCGTAATTACGCAGCGCAGAGCCTGCCACAGCAATAGATGGGTCACACATCCCTGTTGCGTAAAGTGTCTTTATATAGAGCCTTTGACTGTCCAGGATCACAAAGCGCTTCACATTTTAAAAACATACAGATCAAAATAATACACACACAAGTCAGATTTAATAGAGGGTCCTCATCATGAGCTGTGATTTATTCGAAGTTTGCGTGTTTCCATTAGACTTTTTCTGATGCGCAAATTCAAATTTTGAAACATGATCCTCAATGAAAACACAGCATATAATTTTGCCAGAGGGAATATGTTTATTGTTGTACATATCTTGAATTTCATGCGTGTTGTGCCAAAGGTTGAGTTCAGCGTATAGATTTACACCACCTCCAGACCTGGCGTTTATTTTTTGCGTATTGTACGCTCACGTCCAGATAGATAAATGCGGAAAAGTGTAATATTTTGCGTACGCCTCATTTACCCTGATTTGGCCGTACGCAGGTTTCATACATGAGGCCCACAGTGAGGCCCACAGTGAGGCCCACAGTGAGGCCCACAGTGAGGCCTACAGTGAGGCCCACAGTGAGGCCCACAGTGAGGCCTACAGTGAGGCCCACAGTATAGGCCCACAGTGGGGCCCACAGTATAGGCCCACAGTGGGGCCCACAGTGAGGCCTACAGTGGGGCCCACAGTGAGGCCTACAGTGGGGCCCACAGTGAGGCCTACAGTGGGGCCCACAGTGAGGCCTACAGTGGGGCCCACAGTGAGGCCTACAGTGAGGCCCACAGTGTGTCTCACACAGGCCTAGAGTTTACCTCATCAGTGCAAGGCGAGCCTGGCCTGACCGCGCTCTCCTCCTCTGGGACCTACGGGCCCGGGCCTCTGGCTACTCTACCTCACAAAGTTCACGCTGAACTTTCTTAAAATTAAAATGAAAAAGGCTGCTCTGTTGTGAATGCTTTAAGAGCGTTGTCAATCTTTAAGACGAGGAATAGCTGGTTGTTCTCGCTTCACGCTGTGATATGATATTGGACAAAATTGTTCAGCCAATAAACAGGACTATATTTGAAGCAACGTAGGAACGTGATGACGCTCAGGGGGTTATATTATTATTATAATTATTATTATTATTCCCCCCACTGTAGGAGCCAATACACTTTTCAATATTTTTGAATTCTGAGCGTTTCCAATTGTATTTAAAAATGGGAAACCTAATTAAACAATCATGAATTGAGCTTTTCGGATCTTATTTTACACTGATTCCTTTGATCATTTTTTTCTTAAAGTTCAAGTTGTTAAAATGCTATGTTTGAATTGGTTATTTACATTATAACTGTGAGTGACACGTAAGGCGGGACAACAATGCACAATGACGCACGCATTCTGAATAGAATAATATGTATTAATATCTCTAAAACTAAAAGAGCATATTCAAGTTTTACAACAAAAACGACGTCATATGCGTGTCCATTATGCGTAAAAGCATGCCCTCAGCAAAACCACGTATTTGTAAAAACTATAGGCTAACAGATGTAGTAGCTCTAGTTTCAATCGTCCTCATTTTATTCAGTCAGACTTGTCAAATATAGATGCCCATGGGAGAGTGAGCAAGGGGAGATAACATGCCCATAACATGCCCAAAAATATCCTGCATAGACTCAAGCTGCGATCAGCTGAAATATGAGCACACAAAGAGCGAGAGGGAAAAAGAAAAGTAAATAGGCTTAGGCTAGTTAGTATTTTTTCTCTCACAAAAGTTGGCGCTTATCATATGCCATCTTTCGTGGAGGAGGAAACATCAAACATCAAAGCGCGCACGCGGGGAACAGCGGCACTAGTCTTGTTGTTGAAGTCCCGATGTTCTCCCACTTCTATTGGCGGGGGAACATCGGACCCGGGGAACATCGGGACTTTTTAATACGCGAAGTACCGATGTTCCCCGGGTCCGATGTTCCCCCGCCTATAGAAGTGGGGGAACATCGGACCCGGGGAACATCGGTACGCACCCCTTCTACATATACTCCACAAGTACAACAAGCCTTCAGCGCCTGTCACTACACTCTACAGCTTATCTGCACACTGTTGTCTGTGCAGAGGAGCTAGCGGAGCTAGTCGAGCTAGCCACGCTCAATAAACAAATACATATCAATCAATCAACACCATTTAATGTTAATCTGACAATACAGTATACATATACATCCTTAACACACATGCATGGACGATTTCAGAATTTGTTGTTAACGTTTTCATGACGAAAATACTATTTTAATGTGACAAAAAGCGATATCGGTATATAAATGGGTAACTCACCGCTGATGTTCAGAGTTCTTTGTTCAGTTTTCATGTAGTTCTAGAGAGTTTTTGAACTAGCTAGCTTAGCTGTTACTTGCCTAGCACGTCACGGTGAAACCTTTGGGAGCTAACTATTTTATTTGCAGTCATTAAATACACTTCAAATTATAAGGGCTGTCTAATATTTGTTCGAATATATATATATTTTTTATTTTAGAATTATATTTGAATTTTGAAGCCGAAGCCCTAGTGTTGAGCAGCGCTGTAGAGGCCTCTAAAACCTGAGTCCTGCGGAGCATGGCCTTAGTCCTCGTTATTAAGCCCGTTCGTGTGGAGCAGATCCTCAGTGTGGTTCTCCTTGAGGTTTCTCACTCTTCTCCCACTGGGTTTTAGTTTTTCCTTGCTGATGCAGGAGGGTCTGTTAGACTGTTAGTGGTCTAACAGGAAGAACAAGGATGATCCATGTATCAGTATTCATAGACATTGGTCAAACTCCCCCCAATGGACCCATACCTATGTGTTCTATATTTTCTTAACTGTTTGATTCTCTGATTTGTGGAGGCAATCACTGGTGCAGTAATCTGCTGTATATATGTTTGTTTTATTTTTGCTGTGACATCTTTTTATATCTGGACCTCAAGTCTGTAATAAAGTTTAAAAATAAATCATAATAATTATGATTAACTATTTGTATTGTTATAGCTGAAGCTTTCACTGTTGTCTTGACTAAACCTTCCTAATTTAATTGGGCTGCAGAGATTTTGCGGTGCCGTTTGTCCAAATGAAAGCCTCTCTGGCTGTCTCCACCTCACTTTCTCATTTTGGTTTATGTTTTTTCCACTTAGGAAACAAGATGGACGTATACCGCGGATCTCTGATGAAATAGAGACCTCGTTGGATCCATCTCGCCTTCCGTTTCCTCCTCCCTCACTGTTAAGGGTAATTTACACTCTGCTGTATCTCTGTTATTGCACCAGATCATAAAACACGAGTGAAAGTGGACAGCTATTACAGAAGAGTTTTGCAACATTGTTGCATTCACACATTGACAAACCTACAGCAGTGCATTTCTCAACGATCTTTGAACCACAAACTTGGAGAATCTATTCATAAAATCACTCACACACACAGCAGACATCAACATCAGAAGTCAGACTAAACTTGAAATAAATGTAGACAAGGACTAAACCTAAACTTGATCAGATCCAAAGTATACACTTAGACTTTACTGTATATACTGTACATGTACAAATCCCAGAGCTTTTTGAAGCCTAATGGCTTCAAAAATAAAACTCCTTTGGGTTTGTATACGCTTGTTCATTTCATATCACGCTTGTTCAAATTAAATTAAATGGAAAGGAATGGGTCTGCAAACGCTTGTGTCACACTTAAAATAAAAATACAGAATTGTCCCGTATTTTAGAAAAAATATGTGCGTCCTGTAATAAATCGATAAGGGACTGCTTTTGTCTTGTCAGAGTCGCCTTGAATGCATCACTCACTGCATATCACACGCAGGACACACACAGTAATCATGTTTTTATTCATTTGATTCATTTGGTTTAAGCGTCTACCTTTCGGCCAATTAGTGTCCAAGAAGGGCGTAAGGCTTGATCCATGGCCTTAAAGGCACACCGTGTAACTCTTGGCCACTAGGGGCGCTAGACCTGCAACTTTCACGTTTAGCGCCCCTAGTGGCCACAAGCAACTCAGCACTGTCGCAAAAGTCAACAAACAGTCAGCCGGTGTCTTTTGAGTGTGTATTCAGACAGCATGCACTGGTGTGTGTGTTCAAACTGTAGAGACATGCCTACAGATATTGAGAGACTCTGCTGTGGTCAGCCTCCAGACCGCTGCATTAGTAATCTACCACACATGGACTTCTATATCCTGGATGAGGGAGTTCTGCGTCTAGCTCGTGCTGCGTGGAATGACATCTTTGCAGTCGATGACATCCAGGAACCAGGTGAAGAGCAGCGCTCATACAGACATGCAGCTTACAGCACGATCCCTTTCGCGTTTCCTCTTTTTAGCCTCCTCCGAAGGTTTAAAATTTTTCCTTGCCTCAGCCATGACCAGGAGTCGAGCAGGTGAAAAATGAGTAGCAAAAGCCTTAGCTCCATGAGTATATCAGCGCCTGTAGCCGTAAAGCAAGTCTTTCTTCCAAGTCACGTGACCTGGTGGCAGACGGTCCGTCTGCTCGAAACTTACATGGGCGGTATTTCAAGAGGGCAGCCCCGCTCGGAGCATTGCAAGTGTCAAGCGCTGTATATTGGCCCAAGTATTCATATAAAATAACTCATATGTGTCAACTCTTTAGGTCACAAAGTCCGCGGTGTGCCTTTAATGTTGAAAAGCGCCAGCAGCATTATCACGGCAGAGGCACGACCTCAGAATGTTTGACAGACTCCGAATCAGAGAGCATCCCATTCTGCTGAGAAAGGTTCAGCAAAGAAATGAAAGCGACTACAGAGGTACAGACGAGAGTGGGATGCGTGGTTAGAGAGTGTGAAAGAGAATTGCTACCAAGTGAAGTGTACTTTTTGCCGCCATGTGTTCTGTTTCTCACGGGGGTCAGATGTACAACAGCATGCGAGCCAATCAGATCAACCTCATTCAATTCTTCATCCCTGAAGCATCACCCGAGGCAGATACAGAGTAACAAGTTCTGACTTTCTTAATGGGTTTTGGTTCAGTACAGGCCTATAAATCCCATTGGTGGCATAAGTAATTGTTGCTTGGTTGTTAGAAAGCGGTCACTTATTCACAATGTGAAATCATTTACTCGCTTTGGAGTCACTGGCGTGCTTCTCTGTATGTGTGACTTGCTGTAAATATGTGAATATGTGATTACTATGTGTTTTTAACACATTGTCTGTGTAGATTGAAATTAGAACATCAAAAAGTACTCTACCCGATCTACCCAAATGGTGTCCCTTATTTTTCAGTTCTCAAGTTGGCAACCCTACTTTCACCATTTTGTATGCTTGCAGTGTTTATATTTTTATATTACAGATGACCCCTCTAACAAATGATCAATGTGGCTCCTTCTGTCCCAAAAATCACTTTGATTGTTTGACCGGGACAGGACAGGACTGTTTGTGATTGGCTCTTTGGTTGCTCTGTCATTTCTACCACATGGGTGACATCATTACTGGATCTATCTTTTGTTCACTTTATTCACTATCCACTCTTACTATTGTCAATTCCAGACCTGGGCAAAGTATGGCACGGGTGCCACATCCGGCCCAATTTACAGTTCTGTGCAGCCCCCAAACCGTTTCCAGCCGTTAATCATTCACCAGTCTGTTGCTGATTTCAATTAATCAGGAGTTATAAATATGTGTTACTCTGGCATGATATACATTCATTCTGTTCTAATTAATGAACCCGGAATGCTATTGGTAACAATTTGCAATATGTCCACATACACAAAGAAAACACTGTATGTCTTTATGTTTATACATAATGTATAACGTTTATTATATATGAAGTTGTTTTTAAATTTGAATTATGAGACACAGACGTGGGGGGGCGACAGTAGCTCAGTTGGTAGAGCATTGGCCTTTGGGCCTGAAGGTCGTGGGGTCAAGCCCACCGTAAGACCCACTGCACAACTCCCGCTGATGACTGCTGTCGTTGTGTCCTTGGGCAAGACACTTAACCCCACTTTGCCTGAAGCCTCCGCTGAAAGATCTCAGCTCCCGTGGACTTACCACCTGCAGGAGGATCAGTGAGGGGCAGGTGCTAAGTGTACTGGGTGCAGCTCTGACTGCCATCCCCCCGACCCAGAAATGGATTAAGGGGAAGAAAATGGATGAATGGATGGATTATGAGACACAAACGTGTACCTTATGAAAACTGGCCCAGCCCTTCCCACGATCTCTATAGCCGCGTTTCCACTGCAGGAACTTCGGGGAAATTTTCCAGGGTCAGCCTCATCTGTGCGTGTCTCCACTGCAAGAACTTTCCCCACAGGACCATTTACAGGAACTTTTAAGGGGCCCAACGGAGTCCCTCCTCCATGCTATGTACTCCATTGGGCCCTGGTGGGACTTCAGGTTAACCCGGCTCGGATTGGCAAAAGGTAGCGCAGGCTCTGACGCCAGCAAAGCACCAAAACAACTGGCATTCAGCAGCATTAGCCCAGCAGCATTAGCCCAGCTGCATTAGCCTCGCAGCATTAGCCTAGCAGCCCCACCCCGCTCCTTTTACCAGGAACTCCTGCGGTGGAAACGCAGCTTATGTGGCCCCTTAAGATAAAAATTGTCCTACCCTGATCAATGCACATAACCTAGTGAATTGCCCCATTCTTTTATCTGCTTGTTCAGTTCCGTGGCGAAGATGAAACACTTATTCAGTGAATGATATGTTTCCTGTATTGACAGTTGAGTATGAAGTGGGCATAAATATGTTTTGCAATGATTGGGTCAAAAAAAAAAAAAAGCTGTAAAGCGATGTATTCATAGCTCTATGAGAGTGTGTGAGGATGTAGTGTGTGCAGGGACAGATATAGACCAGGGGCAGTGGTTCCTCTCCGCTACATGCCTCTGGGTACATCCACATGAGTCACACCTCCAGACAAATCCACCACAGATTAATAATGTAGCTGAATCCAGAGTGGAAAAGGCAAGGCTTCAGAAAGTATAGGGAATGTTCATGTCCTGTTTTCTATTTGTGGAAATGAGACTCTCTAATGATTCAATTTATATGGAGATCACTCTGACATGTTTTATTCAATCGTGTTTGATTCAACCTTTGCATTTCACGTCCTCGAGATGGTTTGGCAGTGCATTTAAATATTACATTTATAATCTGCTATATGGTTGAAAATGCTTGTGATTACCAATTGGTTGTACATGTAAATGATTTGAGTGCGACAGTTACTCAGTTGGTAGAGCATTGGCCTTCAGGCCTGAAGGTCGTAGGTTCAATTCCCACCTCTACACCTTTGCCACCGACTCCCACTGATAACTGCTGTCGTTGTGTCCTTTGGCAAGACACTTAACCCCACTTTGCCCAAAGCCCCCACTGAAAGATCAAGGCAGCCGTCCTCCTGTGGACTCACCACCTGCAGAGGGTCAGTGAGGGGCTGGTGCTATGAGACTTGGGTGGCATCTCTGACTGCCACCCCCCTGACCCAGGAATGGATTAAAGGGTAGAAAATGGATGATTGATTTGAGTTGTGTTTGGGATTGAAGATGGTGGAAAGTAAGTAGTTACCATATCAAAAAGTGATACAATATGAGGTAATAATTGCTTAAATCAAGCAGTTTTTTGTCTTAATTTGAACAAGATTCGCCATTGGGACAAAGCCATTCAAGAACCGTTGCTTTATTTTCCAAGGGAGACATTGGCAAATCTTGTTTTAAGGCAGTCAAAATGTTCTCAAATTAAGATACCTTTTGCCATAGTTAAGCAATGTTTTTACTTATTTTGATATAAACCAAGAGAAAAGTCAACAACAACAACAAAAATCAGTATAATTCTATTTCCTATAAAGTGGTTGTGAGTTGATCTGACCTACTTTCAGATAATTTGACATCGGAGGGCTTAGATCGGAGTGTTGCCCATGAGACGAGAAGGAGAATGTGAAGATGTTTAGAGCTGGCGCTGAAAGGCTCTTGGCTCCTCTAACGTTAAAAGTGTAAGCAATGCCGTTGTCTATTATGTTGGAATGCTTATAAAGGAGTCACTGACGGCCGTTGGCAAGACTTTTGACTAAACCTGAGGCTCTTGCTTTCTTTTTCATCAGCCAATTGATTTGATGTACTCACAAAGAAAACTGCAATAAAAAAGAAGCCACAAACATTGAATTCCATTATGTGATTAAATACATTTAACAGGATTGAGCTTTTCTGATGATCTTTGCATCTATCATACCATACCGACTTTCAAAGCTCAATAAAATGTGTTTAAGATGGATTGACTGAATTGAC